GGTTGCCAAGGGGGAGGAAGGTGAGGGAGGGTTGGATTGGGAGTTTGGGGTTAGCAGATGTAAACAATTATATAGAGAATGGATAAACAACAAGGTCCTACTGTATAGCACAGGGAACTATATTCAATATCCTATGATAAACCATAATGGAAAAGAATATGAAAAAGAATGTGTGTATATGTATACCTGAATCACTTTGCTGTACAGTAGAAATTAACACAACATTGTAAATCAACTATACTTCAATAAAATAAAAATTTTTTTAATAAAAAAATAAACTTCTGACTCAGTTCCTTCATCTGAAAAACATGGGACTTCTCAAGGCCACTATGAGGATTAAATGAGATTGTGCATGGAAAGTTCTTAGCTTGGCATCTGGGACATAGTGCTCAAAAAGTGTTCCCTGTGAACTCCTTTGGGGGGTTTCTTCATTCTTTACTGATGCTTGTGAATCTAAATGAGGCTGCCCCTCTCTGCACTGATCTCTTTGACAAGAGGGCCCCTTGCCTGGGGCATGGGTTGAGCCTCCTGCCCCTCTCATCCCACGTGCACCACTCCCCAATTACACTGTGCCCCACCAGACAGCAGTGAGATCCAGGAGGACGACAGGGAGAAGATGCAGGGGTTCATGGTGCTGTCAGGGCTCAGTGCACCTGTGGAGCTAGGGACTTCTACCACCAGATGGTCAGGAAAGGGATGGAGAAGGGAAGACTTGCAAGACTCACTGTCTCTGGTCAAAGAACAGGTCTTGGTCAACCCATACTTGAAGACTGGCAAGTGTCAGAACCTCAGAAAATCCTGCCCAGGGCGAGGATTTATTAGAGGAGGTCATCGCGAGGACGTGACCGCTGGTTGCCCCGTGCATGGGACCCGGGCAATCGGAGGCTCCTCACCCCCTCCTCCGTGCTTGGAATGTACCTTCTGCCCACTGTTCCCACAGTGGGAGGTGTTCCAAGGATGCGGCCTTAAGACAGGGATGCTGTTGAAACCATCTGCACGGTGTACACGGCTGAACCAGGCTAAGGCCTCCCTGTAAACTTTTAAGCTTCTGGAGGCGGGTGCAGAGATTGGCTGGTCTTGAGCCCGCCCCAAAACAAACACGTAAGTTCCCTTGCTGGTTAAAACTGCCACCTACCGGGGCTTCCCTGGTGGCGCAGTGGTTGAGAGTCCGCCTGAGGATGCAAGGGACACGGGTTCGCCTAAGGATGCAAGGGAAACAGGTTCGTACCCCGGTCTGGGAAGATCCCACATGCCGCGGAGCCTGTGCTCCGCGACGGGAGGGGCCACAACAGTGAGAGGCCCGCTTACCGCAAAAAAAACCAAAACAACAACAAAACCCTGCCACCTACCAATCCGGAGTGGTCTGCCTCTTTCTTCTCTCTCTCTCTGCCCTCTGTGTGCCCTCCAGAGTAAGGGGCTGGTTTCAAATTTCACCCAGGAAGTTCCCAAGGTGAACCAGCAGGAAGCTGAGAATTAGGGAGGGGGAGGTGTGTGGCTTTTCTACCAAGTCAGAAGCTAATTTCAGGGTGCAAGTTTAGGGAGTAGGACCAGGGTCCACAGAAGACTTACACTCGCAGGAAGGAAAGGTTCTGATGGCTTTTTTGGTTTAAGGTACAACAGTAGGAAAAGCTGCCCAGAAATGTCTTGGAGGCGCGCAGCGGGGAGGGGTGGGGTGTTGCAGGGTGCGAGACGTGGAATTTGGCCTCCTCTCAGCCCTTGACCTCCAGCTCCAAGTTCAAATTCAGCCTGAACTTCAGCCCTTTCCTCCTCTCTCTCTCTCCCCCCTTTCTATCTTCCTCTCTCTCTCAAAAACTTGCTACCTATAGGCAGGTCAGCAGCTCCCATGCGGACAGGATGGGCTGCCCCAGATGAGAAGGGAAGTTCTGGAAGGGACCCCTCTCCCAGTGCTCAGCCTGAGCTGCACCTGGAGCTCACACCTCCCGCTCCAGCTCCCCACCCGGCAGACAATCATCCTACAGGGGCTTCCCTGGTGGCGCAGTGGTTGAGAGTCCGCCTGCCGATGCAGGGGACGCAGGTTCGTGCCCCGGTCCGGGAAGATCCCACATGCCGCGGAGCGGCTGGGCCCGTGACCCATGGCCGCTGAGCCTGGGCGTCCGGAGCCTGTGCTCCGCAACGGGAGAGGCCGCAACAGTGAGAGGCCCGCGTACCACAAAAAAAAAAAAAAAATCCTACAGTATTTTAAGATCCCCAGATTATCTTTCATTGAAAACTCTTCCATACTGATTTTTCCAACTAGATGCATGTATAATATTATTTTGCTTGTTTTAATAAACAGTAATTAACAAGTAAACATTCATTATCAAATAAATAATGATAAGCAAAACAATGGAAGAGGGATTGGCTAAAATGTTCATCGGCCCATCACAGACCCCGGTCCTTCCCAGCTCCCTGCATGTGAGCCTGGAGGCATGGGTGTCCCTAGGATGCCCATGGGTGTCCCTAGGATGACCACCCTGAGGCTCACGCCAGTAACTCTTTTTCAGCTCAGGCAACGCTGTCCTATGTCTCCTCTACTCCAAGAGATGAATGTTCTAAACCAGCAGAAACCAGAATACCACATGCCAGTATGAAAACAGAGGAGGAAAAGGGGGTACAAAAACCCAGCAGTGGTGAGAACTTTTTTTAAAATTTATACTTCACCTTTTTCCATTAAAGTTGGGAATTACAGGGCTTCCCTGGTGGTGCAGTGGTTGAGAGTCCACCTGCCGATGCAGGGGACACAGGTTTGTGCCCCGGTCCGGGAAGATCCCACATGCCGCGGAGCGGCTAGGCCCGTGAGCCATGGCTGCTGAGCCTGCATGTCTGGAGCCTGTGCTCCGTGACGGGAGAGGCCACAACAGTGAGAGGCCCACGTACCACACACACACACAAAAAAGTTGGGAATTACAAAAGCATTTCTGCAATATTCAACATGAGCAGTGATACCATTTTTTTTTCTTGTTACAAAAGCCCTGCCTACTTAGAAATTTCTGTCCGAATTTTAAATGCATATGTCCTTTGACCCAGTATGGTACACACAGTTTATTACCTACCTATCCCAAAAGCATTCCCTCCTTTCTTCTTGCTAATAGAAGCTCGATTTTTTTTTAATTCTCAGCGCTTTTTTTTTAAGTTGTGTATTTTATTTTATTTTATTATTTTTTTGGCTGCATTGGGTCTTCGTTTCTGCAGGTGGGCTTTCTCTCGTTGTGGCGAGCGGGGGCTACTCTTCGTTGCAGTGCACAGGCCTCTCATTGCAGTGGCTTCTCTTGTTGCGGAGCACGGGCGCTAGGCACTCGGGCTTCAGTAGCTGCAGCACACAGCCTCAGTAGTTGCAGCATGCAGGCCCTAGAGCACGCGGGCTTCAGTAATTGGGGCACACGGGCCCAGTAGTTGTGGCTCGCGGGCTCTAGAGCACAGGCTCAGTAGTTGTGGCACACGGGCTTAGTTACTCCTCAGCATGTGGGATCTTCCCGGAACAGGGATCAAACCCGCGTCCCCTGCATTGACAGGCAGATTCTTAACCACTGTGCCACCAGGGAAGTCCCATCAACTTTATTTTTTTTGGAAGTATAGTTGATTTACAAGGTTGTGTTAATTTCTGCTGTACAGCAAAGTGATTCATTTATATATATATACATTCTTTTTTCATATTCTTTTCCATTATGATTTATCACAGGATATTGAATATAGCTCCCTGTGCTATACAGTAGAACCTTGTTGTTTATCCATTCTAGAACCTCGATTTTTATAGCCACGTGGTCACCTGCCTCAGCCTCAGGGATGAAGCAGGATTAATTTAAGATCTTAGGTCACTTTCCCATTAGCGTTTGCAGACATTTGCTTTCCAGGCCTTCCTTGCAGCTCCAGCCAATGAGATGACAAGGGAAGCCTGGGAAGGCCGTGGCTTCTGGGGAAGCCACTCTCCATCAAGAAAAAGAGAGCATGGTCTGCTGTAAAGGTCTTTTCACCACTGCCCTCTACACACAACTTCCTGTTGTGACATCTAGAGCTGCAGTAACCATCCCACACCCATGAGGTGACCGGCACAAGAACAAAAGCCAACACAGTGAGGATGGTGGAGACGGAAGAAATGACTCTGGCCATCAGTGTTTCGGTCCAGCTGCTGAACCAGCCTCACTGCCTCTCTCCAGACTCTGACGTGAGAAAATTAAATGTCTTTATTGGCTAAGCCACTATTAGTTAGGTTTTCTATTAATTGCAGCCCAGCAAACTCCTAATGGGATAGACTTGGGAATTACATTCATTCTTTCACTCATTCAGCAAATATTTACTGAGAGCTTGTTCTTTGCCAGGCTCTATTTAAGAAACTAGAATTCTACTACCAAGAATTTACCCAGATTTTTATCTGCAAAAGTAGGCCATGATTTTTATATGTGAAAAATGTTAATGTCCAACAAGAGGTAACTGGTTAGTTATTTTCATGGAGCTGTATTAAAAGAATGTATGTGATGGCATAAAGGATCTCCAAGATATAGAATAAAAGATCTCCAAGATATAGAATATATTTTTTGTCTACATAAAAAATATATATTTTAAAAATTATCTTGGTCCCAAGAACCTAAAGACATCCCTCCCTACAGCAAAGCTACCTGGAGGGGACAAAACACCTGTCTTGGAGCCAAGGGCTGGCCCCCAAGGAAAGTGAGCCAAGGTGGGACCATCCAAGTGACTCAAAGAACTAGCCACTCACCCCAGTTCCATTCCCCAACTCACATTCTCCAACAAAAGAAAGGTCAGCAAGTCCAAAAAGAGGCCTGACTGTCCCACTCCTGGACAAGCCTATGGCAAGTCACCCCGGGTTTGGCTTCCGTCCTTCTCCCCCCTGGCCACACCCAACCAGCATCCATTTCCAGTGTTCTCAGAAAGAAGGGATCCCCTATCCTTCCTAAATAAGTCAGTCCCATAATCCCACAGCCACGTTCAGACCCCCTTGCTCTCTTTCCTCATCTTAGCCCTCAAGGAGCACAGACAAGAGGGTCAGCATCAGCCTTTATTGGGGAAAAGAAGCACCACACACCCACTTTCCAAGCCCAGGGCTGGGTTTCCTACGGTCAGGGCAGCAGCAAGAACAGAAACAGAGCAGAGAGGGCAATGAAAGTCCCTGGGGGTGTCACAAGCCCCAGGACATCATCCTCTCCTGGCTACCAGGACAAGCCCCCTGGAGTCACCAAAGAAACTCAGGACACATCAGGACAGCTACGGCACCGGGCTCTCTGCAAGTAGAAGAAACATCAGGTCACAACTGTGCCCTCCTGGCTCCAGCTCCTCAAAATGTTTTTTCCCTTCCACCCTGGAGAAGTTTGGCAAAGATTGCTCTCAAAGGCCTTACATAGCTCCCTGCTTCCCAGACAATCCAGTCTAAACTGGCATTGAAGACTCTTATCATTCATTGACCAACCTTACATTTCCTGTTCAAAAAACAGCCTGTCTGTTCCCTTACACACTCTCTCACCACCCCCATCCCAGCTCCCCAAACACGTCACATACATTACCCCCTCTGTGCCTTTGCTGACCGTCACCAGACCACGCGTGCAGCATGTTCTCTGGGCTCTCCTCCCTTGGTCACATCCTGCCTAGGCTTTAGGGCCCAGATCAAACCCTACTTCTAGGAGAAGGACCTTCCCAAGGAGCCACACTTACTCTCATCACCTATACGCGCATACTGCCTATACAAGGGTTCTGATCTGTGACATAGAATCTTTCTCTCCAACTAGACTCTCCAGGGCAAAAACTGTCTTGCCCTTCTGGAGTCCCCACCCAGCACCTAAGCCAGTGCTCTGTACATAGCAGTTAAGGCCATTGTTACTGATAACAATGGGCCGTACTCACCTAATTCAAAATTAGACCTGATGGTCCGGTTGGGGTTCAGGGCCAGCTGGGGCGGCAGGATTGGCGGGACACAGAAACGGCCACAGCCTGACTTGCAGCACTTTTCCCCAGCTGGGCAGTTCTCATCCGCCATGCAGCTGACAATGCACAGGCCCGCCAAAATGTTTGGACAGTCACCACCCCGCCCTGTGGGATAAACAGGCATAGGTGTAGAGACAGGAGGGTTGGTGCAATGACTCCAAGTTCCCATCTGGGACTTAGAGGCTCCAGATGAATCCATCCCTGATTCTAACTAGATCTTAACCAAAGATCTGGCTGGAAAACCTTGAAGTTCAAGGATCCGAGCCCCTGCAGGGCCCCAAGAGAGCATCTGAACTAATGATTTCCAAAGGGTGTCCCACAGGAAGTTCTCTAGCGGTACCTTGGGACTTGATACCTCTGTGGGTTTGGGGCTGGGGCTGGGTGGGATGCAGAAGAAGCAAGGCTCCCAGAGCACCACCCTCTCCCCCTATGCTTGGGCTTCCTACTAACACCCACTGCCTTCCTCTAGTTCTTTCAATGCCAACATGGGCCCCTTGGTCCTTGGAGGAGGGTTGCTTTGGGTTGAAGGGCTAGGAGGACTGGAAAGATGAGAACTCTGACTCCTCCCACGAAGAGAAAGAGAAGAAGGCCACAGATGGCTCCCTCCCAAGCCAACCCTGGGACCCCAGGAGCACTCAAGTCTTCCCCAAAGAGCCAACATACCTCCCTTGATGTCTCCATGGCAGGCATGGCCACAGCCAGTGCTGCAGCACTTATGTCCCTGAGGACAGGATGCGTCCCCATCACACAGCTCTTCACACGGAAGGGGGTCTGCAGGACATTCACTGCCAAACTCTGCCATAAAATCAGAGCATTGGGGCCCAGAGGTGTTCAAGCCCAGTGTTAACAGTTATTTTTATTGGGACTCTGAGTACAAAATACATTTTCCATTGAGTCCCGTGTGTACTTTATACCTATTTATGTGTAAAATGTACATATTTATGTGCATACATGTATATGCAATGCTGATACTTTATATTCTATTTCTTTTTTTTTTTTTAATGCTGACCACAAAATACTAAATAGCTATCCAGACTCACAGACTGAAAAGCACTGTTGAGGTCTAACACATTGTGGCAAACGCACTAGCTGCTACCCCCATATTCATCCTCCCCCTTGCTTACTGTGGTCGACATCAACACTGCTGGCTGCTGGAATACGTGCTCTTGGGTAGCCCCCTCCCACACCGTCTCTGGGCTCGACTGGGTGACTTGCTTTGACCAACAGGACACCAGCCAAGTATGATGCAAGCAGAGGCTTGAGCAACACTTGCGTACTGGGGCTTGAACACTCCCTCTTGGAAACCACCCACCGTGCTGCAAAGCAGCTTGGGCTAGGCTGCGGGATAGTGAGACGCCTCCGGAGAGAGAACCTGGAGGAGGAGAGCCCATCCTGGACATTCCAGCCACAGTGGAACTTGCCAGGGAGCTCCCAGCTGCATGAAGGACCTCAGCTGTGCCACTGGGTATAAGAACTGCCCGGCTAAGCCCAGCCAACCCACAAAGCCACACAACTGTGAGAAAGAATGCACTGTGTTAATGTTGATGACTTCAGGATTGGGGCTTTGGGGGAAAAAAAAAAAAAAAAAAAAAAAGAATGCACTGCGTTACGTCGCTAAGTTTGGGGATCGTTTGTTAGGTGGCAATAAATAACTGAAGCATTTGTGAATAGAACCCCAGGCTTGTTCTGAGAGGCAGTGAGCCCAGTCAGCTAAAATGATTTGCTTCCCCCATATTCCCTTGTAACTAGGGGTGACCACAAACTAAGATATAAGCTGGGAAAACTATTGCATTGTTGGTTCAGGGAATACAGCTGTCAAACTGCCCTCTCATTTCTTTCTTCTTCCAGTCCAAAGACAGACAAGGAATCAGAGCAGCCTTCTTGCAACCAGGAGGCACCCAGTATGAAGACAAAGTCAAGAATCGCAAAGGAGAGACAGAGAAATTGCTTCATCGTGGAGTCACCACACCAGCCCTGGCGCTGACTTCAGGACTTCTTGTTATGTGAGAAAGAAGAATCCCTGTTGGTTTCATTTTCTGCTTCATGTAGCCAAACACATTCTTGATGTGCCCTTTCACAGCCCCTAAGAAGATAATGAAACTCAGAGAAGAGAAGGGGTTGGCCCAGAACTGCAGAGTGAGTCTGCGGCAAAGCAGGACAAAACTCAGCTTCTCGGTTTGCAATGAAGCACTCTTTCTACTACACCATCTTTAAGACATGTGGGCAACAGGCCAGGTCCACGGGGGCAGGCACACCCAAGATGTCACATCCAAACCAAACCCACTCACCATGACTCATTCCTCTCAGTGTTTATTTCAAGTTTTTTAAATGGAGGGGAAAATGACAGGCAATGCAAGCTTTGTAGAAAACCGAGACAGGACTGGCCCAGTGCCTCTGACAACGAACATGTACATACGATTGGACACAGCTGGCTCTGGGAACTCTGACATGATGGAAAAAGCAAGTGTTGGACTCCGAGAGAATACATGCAGCTAAACAATCAAGATATAATAACCTGGCGTCCTAGGATTTTTCGGAATAGCCCCTATTTCAAGTATTTTTTGCCATTGTCCGCTTGTGTCACAATTATGTGTCTTGATATATTTTATTCAGAAAATATGGTCACTGTAACCACCAGATGTATCTCCCCACGCCTCCCCACCTGTCTGACAAACACTAAAATCCATTTAACAAGGAACAAAGCCTTTTACCCCACGGTGGAGAAGGCTGCGCATAAAATAAATCTCCCTGGTTGGGAAAAACACAGCAACATAAACTCACCAAGTCACCGTGTGCCCTAGAGTGGAGGCCTAGAATACCACACTTTCCAGATATCACCATTTTTCCGGGCCCAACTCTGAAGTAACCAGTGCCAGGAGGACCCTGCTACCTCTGCCCTTATCCTCAGGACCAGGCATAGAGACCAAAGCCCTACCCTCTCCCAGGCCAGGCTTCCTTGAGGTCCCTGGGGTTTTGTCAAATATTAGAAGCAATGAAGGGACACTTAGGAAGATAGGCTGAAGCCCTGAGGGTCACAGCACATCCCCTCGGACCAGTGCCCAGCAGAGCCACCCAGTCTAATACCCTATCTGATGCTTGAATCCCTGCCAAACAATCCCCTACTCTCAGCTGAACAGCGGGAATTAAGGGGGCTTCAGTAGCTCCAAGCCAGACTACGCCATCCTTATACTTAAGCTAGACAGCCTTAGGTATAAGGAAGTCCTTCTTTATACTCAGCCGAAATCTGTTTCTATCCATTGGTCTTTTTCCTATCCCCAGACACCTGGCAAAAACATGGCTCATGCCATCTCTTTAGCCATCCTCTGCCTTTCACTGTCTTAGCTTTGCCAGGCTAGGTAAGCTCAGTTCCTCATAACGCATGGTTTCCAGTCACCTCACAGGTATCTTAGCAGGAATCAGGATGAGAAATAGGAATGAGAGCCAGAACGGGGATGGTCATCCCTAGCCTCCAGATATGCCCCTATCCCAAGATCCCAAGCTATCACCAGAAAAGTAGAATAAAAAGCTGAAGCCTAGGAAGTACGCACACTTAGTCTTTACCGTTGCCCCAGCTCCAACCTTCCCCTAGGGAAGAATGCCAGCTGCTGGCAGAAAATAAATTTCAAAACTTCTTAAGCCAAGAAGGGCCCTCTGAGCCTTCAAACCTACTCCTCTTCTCTTGTAAACAGACAGACACCCAGAAGCGGGAAGGATTGGCCTGAGGTCAATGGTCACAGAATTGGGTCCCAAACCCCCAGCTCTGACACTAGGTCCACTGCCCTTTAACCCACATCATGGTGATCCCCTGCACTCCGCAACGATCACCCAAAACCAAATCACCAGGCACTGGGACTCAGCTCAGTTCTGCCAAAAGACCCAGTGGTAGACAGTTTTAGGGGTTAGGAAAACTTATAAATAAACTAGTGTGTCTGGAACCCCCAAGACCACTCCTAGTTTTGGTGATTCTCTAGGACTCACAGGACTCAGCATACAGTGTACCCATGGCCATGATTTACGACAGCACAAAAATACAAAGCAAAATCATCAAAGGGAAGAGGTGCACGAGGTGAAGTCCAGAGGAAGCCAGGCGCAAGCTTCCAAGAGTCCTCTCCCAGGGGAGTCACACAGGATGACTTCATTCCTCCAGTATGGAATTGTGATGGTACATGTGAAGTGGTATCTACCAGGGAAGCTCACTGGAGGCTTAGGGTTCTTCCTGCGGTCTGGTCACATGGGTGCTCTCTGCCTAGCTCATACCACTCTTATTAGTTACGGTGGCAGGAACCGTCTCAAAATCCAAATTCCCAGAAGCCCACCAAGGCCAATCTTGTGAGCAGGCCTTTCTGAGAATATCAGTCTTGGGCCTGCTGTGTCAACTCTTAGCTGTACAACCAGCAGTGAGGTTTTAGAAAAAGGGGACCCAAACACACAGGGAGCCCATGCCATCAATGCATACGAAGGATACAATGTACATGTCGTGGGACTTCCCTGGTGGCGCAGTAGTTATGACTCTGTGCTCCAGGGCTTCCCTGGTAGCTCAGTGGTTAAGAATCCGCCTGCCAATGAAGGGGATGCGAGTTTGAGCCCTGGTCCAGGAAGATCCCACATGCCACGGAGCAACTAAGCCCACACGCCACAACTACTGAGCCTGCGCTCTAGAGCCCGCACTCCGCAACAAGAGAAGCCACTGCAATGAGAAGCCCGCGTACCACAAGGAAGAGTAGCCCCCGCTCGCCACAACTAGAGAAAGCCCGCATGCAGCAACGAAGACCCAATGCAGCCAAAAATAAATAAATAAATAATAAATAAATTTATTTTAAAAGACTCCACACTCCCAGTTCAGGGGGCCCCGGTTTGATCCCTGGTCTGGGAACTAGATCCCACATGCATGCCGCAACTAAGAGTTTGCATGCCACAACTAAGGATCCAGCAAGCCACAACTAAGCAGCCCGCCGGCCACAACTAAGACCCAACACAACGAAATAAATAAGTAAATAAATAAATAAATGTTTTTTAAAAATAATAATAATGCACATGTCATAATAAGCAAAACAGAGGGTCACGGGGGATCAGGAGGGTTCAACTTTCATGCGGTGGAAGGCAGGCCATAAGGGAGCCAGAGGGGACAACTCTTAGGCCATAATCTGAATCTTCACTCCAAAACCTCCTCCTCCTCCTCCCAAAGTTGTCCCCTTCTCAGTAAAGACCACCACCATCACCCAACAGCTCCAGCCAGACAGTCACCACCCTTTTTGACACTTCCTTTTCCTCAACACCCACATCTGCTAACTTCTTTCCCCGGGCCTGTCAGCTTCACCCTCAAAAGTACTTCAAGTCTGCCACTCTTCCAGGTCTGCACCCTGGTCTGAGCCATGATCACCCCCAACCCAGCCTGGCATATTGGCCTCTCAACTGGCCTGCCATCTTCTACATTCGCCCCATCCATTTTTCAGACACCAGCAGAGTAGCCTTTTTAAAATGAAAAGCGGATCAGGCCTCTCCTGCTTTTATAGCCCCCTTTAAAGGCCTCCCATTGCACTTACAATAAAGCCTTAGACAGAGGCCCCGGAGACTCCCCCAAAGCTGGACTCTGCCTCAACTGGAACCACCTTCCTTCACCATCTCTTTCCTCCAGCCACACTGACCTTTCCCCTCCTTAAAATAGTAAGCCCTGCCCTACTCCACTGCTTTTGCCCCTGCAGTTCCCTCTTCATAGCACTCCACCCAATGGCCAGCTCCTTCTCATTCTCCAACTTAAAATGACATCTCCTCTTTCCCTCTCTTTTCTTTCCCTTCATTGCACTCATCACGACTGGTGGTTATTCTTGCTCGTTTATGATTATTTACTGTGTCTCACATCAGAGGGTGAGCTCCATGAGAGCAAGGGCCGTGGCTACCATGCTTACCCCAGGATGCCCAAATGCCAGGTAGGGTAGACACTCAATATGTATTGAATCCATTTATAAGTGAGCAAGTGAATAGACAAGCCAGACCTCAGATAGTTGGGAGGGAACCTGAACAGCAAGGTGCTGGGCATAACTATATGAGCTGTCAGGTATTATCTGGCAGGTTTTGTACAAGTTTCTTATGTGCATTTCTTCTCAACTGCATGCTGTAGACTGAATATTTGTATTCTCCGAAAATTCATATGTTGAAACCTAATCTCCAAAGTGAGGGTATTTGGAAGTGGGGTCTTTGGGAGGTGATTAAGCCAGGAGACTGGAGCCCTCATGAATACTAGTGGCCCTTACTGCCCTTCTGCCACGTGAGGTCACAGCAAAAAGACGGCAGGCTACAAACCAGGAAGCAGGCCCTCCCAGACACTGAACCTGCTGGACCTTGATCTTGGACTTCCCAGCCTCCAGAATTGTAAGAAATAAATTTTTGTTGTCTATAAGCCACCCAGTCTATGGTATTCTGTTATAGCAGCCCAAATGGACACTGCATTATCACTCTATGAGATAAATACCCTTATCTCCATTTTAAGGATGATAAAAATGAGGTTCAAAGAGATGAAAGGACTTGTCCAAGGCCACAGAGCCAGCAAGCAGAGGAGCCCGGTTCAGACCCATGCTCAGACCCGAACTGCCTCAGGGGAGCAGGTCCCAGGGTCTGTCCTGTGCCCTCAGACACCCTGACATTCCTCCAAGTTACCAAACAGACAGGACAGGCTATGGTAAGCTTCTGGCAAATCAGAGCTTAATGAAAGTTGAGATTATTCATAGCCCAGGAAGGGGAATTCCCTGTGCAGTGGGCTGTAGCAACGAGTCCCGCTGGGTGAGTGGGCCAGCCCTCCTCCAGGAAAAAGTAGTTAGCTAATATCCCAGCAGAAATATTACTTCCCACCAGACGAGGAACCCCACTCAGCCAGTGGGCTCTGGGAGAGGTGCAGAGAGATCACTACTCTAACCGGCCAAGCTCCAAGGAAAGAGGAAGCCCCATCTGGGCTGGCCAGAGCCCAGGGCAGCTCACCAAGCTGCCTCACCTGGCGGCCGGCCTCACCCTCAGCCCCCGCAATTCAGCCATCACCTTCAAACACTGCGAAGATTGTACCAGGCCTGACAAGTTGACAGTGAGTGACCCGCATGAGACAGATTCCCAGGCTCTGGTTCCAGAGCTGGCCCTCCAGAGTCCTGGCAAAGAGTACAACACTCTATTCTCCCTTACGGGCAGGCTGCCCAAGGGAGCTGCTGCAGCCAGGCGCAGATAACGCCACTGGGTACAGGGAAGGGGCCTGCTACCTGGGGAGGTTTGGCTGGAAGGAGGCCAGCCTTAACAGGAACCCTGAGTTCAAAGTATAAGATGCAGATAATCAATGGCCTGTTCTCTCCTGACAGAAGGCAAAGAACTGGGGACACGAGTGATTAAAGGAGAAGAGACCCCCCAAAAGGGGAAAAAAGAGGTGAGCTAAATTTCAAGAGCCAACCTAGGAGATAGGAAGCTCTCTGGCTCTATCTAGCCCAGAGGCAAGATCGGAAAGGAGACTCGGATTTCGCCTCTCAAGCCAACATACCCTTAAGGGGTGCCTGCTCGACAGAGCCGACCACAGCCTGCGCTGCAGTGCTTCTGCCTAGCCAGACAGGATTCATCCTCCCGTTATGGCTCTTTGCATGGGGTCTTATCGCGAGGGCATTTTCCTTCTTTCACTGCAAAAGTTATCACTTGAGATTGGGGCAACTGGCGAGGCCTCAAGAAACAGGGAATGGAAGCCAAATGTACTTCGGGGACTTTTAGTCTCTCCAAAATTCCTGTCAAAAATATTTCTGGGGCTTCCCTGGTTGCACAGTGGTTAAGAATCCGCCTGCCAATGCAGGGGACACAGGTTCGATCCCTGGTCCGGGAAGATCCCACATGCCGCAGAGCAACTAAGCCCATGCGCCACAACTACTGAGCCGGCGCTCTAGAGCCCGCAAGCCACAACTACTGAGCCCGCGAGCCTAGAGCCCGTGCTCCGCAGCAAGAGAAGCCACTGCAGTGAGAAGCCCGTGCACCGCAAGGAAGAGTAGACCCTGCTCGCCGCAACTAGAGAAAGCCCACGCGCAGCAATGAAGATCCAACGCAGCCAAAAATAAATAAATTAAATAAATAAATAAATTCAAAACAAAATATTTCTGCAACCACTTTCCCCTTCTCCCACACAGCTGCTAACATGCACCCAGCACCACACATGGACCAGCCACTCTGCAGAGAGAGAGACAGAAAGCTTGGGGCGATCCTATTCTCACCCTAGGGTGAGAGCCCTTGGGAAAAGCTAGAACCTCTAGTAAGCCAGACTGGAAGTGCTATCTCCAGAGAGGACAGAGAAAGCCAGGAAGACCTATCCTGGCTGTCCCAAGAATCTATGCGTCCAGTTCTGTTCTACAGAGAAGACCATCTCCCCAGATGAGGACCCTCACTCTGGGAGGAGGCAGGGGATGACTTCTCTAGTCGTTTTCTATTGCTGTTAGCCAGGGATCCCAAATGATAGCTCACCATGCTCTCCTGCAGTCACCCAGGATGCCACAGACCCAAGAGCAAGAAGTGCCTTCAGGAGGAAGAGGCAGCTCGACATGATGATGATGCTGAGGGTAGAGATGAGAACTCAGTTCAGGCCAGACGTGTACACCTTGCCTTGTATCAATACATCAACCGAGGGAAGGGCAAGACTAGGGGATTGGTCTAAGGCCAGCCACAAAGTTTTCCCTTTCGCAATAATCCCCAACGATGTCTTCTCCAGACAAGAAGAAAAGTGACTGGTTGCTAGTGTGTGGGAAAATTCCTGGCACTACCAAAAGACACACGTGATTGGAATGATCAAACTCTGCAGTATACACAACATCCCTGGACAATGATGAGGAATCTAATGGGCAGCTGAGGAAATGGAGGGATGGCCACTGGATAAAGGATCAAAGAGAGCCTTAGAGGGTTTTGGAAGGACACAGCTACAGCTGTAATGAGAGAGGAAAGGACTAGAGACACAACTAAAGAAAAGAACCAAAGCTAATAAAATGCACTGTGGCTCCTGTCCATCCTAGCAACCTAGAAAACAGAGAATGGAACAGACCAGTTAGAAACTATCCAAAAACTACAGAAAAGCAGTGTTTAGATTTGTTCAGAACTAATATAAATGCACCAAAAACCTAAATCTTGGTCCCTCTAGCCCATACAGGGTATTATTGGACTATATGAAGGTTAGTCAACAAAACCCAAAAGAACAGTTGCTATGACTCAAGTAGTAACCTAGGTCATATATACTCCCTTTCTTTATCTCTTCTTCCTATATTTCTTTTTATTTTTTTTATCTATTCCTTTGGTCAACCATGATACCTAACAGCAATACCTATTGGCATTGCTTAGCCTAATAAGGTTAAAGGGTAAAAACCTCCTTAATAGGGACAAAGAGTTTGGTGCCAGAAAGTTGCCTTGTTGTTTTAAGGCTGATATTGGAGCGTGGAGATAATTAACATTTACTGATGACCTAACATGTGTTTTATACACATTATTTATTTTATGCCTCACAATAATCTTGCAGAAGTAAGAAAACTAGTTCAGAGGGAAAATTAGCCAAGGTCATTAAGCTAGTAAGTGGTAGCTGCTGGAATTTAATAATAGTAATGACAGATAACATTGTTTGAGGGTTTACTACTGCCAAGGTTCTAAGTACTTTACATGAATTAACTCACTTAATTCTCATTGCAACGCTATGAGTTAGGTACTATTATCCCCATTCTACAGATGGGGAAACTGAGGCACAGAAAGAAATGTGGGTCACAGCTAATAAGTAGCAGAACAAAGGTAAGCAGTCCAATCCCATAGTCAGTGTTAACCACCATATCATAATGGATTTGAACTCAGATCTTTCTAACTGCAAAACTCATGCACCTTCTACTACCCCGTATTACGACCTGATAAAAGTAATTTTATCTACCACCCATAAGTAGATCCAATTCTATTCATGGACGTCTTACCTCTAATGCAGAGCTAAAGGGGCTCTGGGGAACTCCACAGCTGCTAAATCCCGCATCCCCAGCCCATCCCAGTATCACGCATCTGGAGAGAGAAGCCCAGAATCTTCATTCAGATGCCTTCAGACGCCAAGAGGCAATCCCTGGGGTCAAGGCCTGGAGAGACCACTGGGTGAGTGGGATGGCATGGGCCAGACCCCCTCTTGCTGGGTTTCGGGGTCCTCGCATTGGGCCCATCCAATTCCGGGGGCTGAGTGCCAGGCATATTAAAATCTAGTTTTCCAGAGACAACTGCAGGCGCCTCGGTACCAAACGCTGCCCTCCGCTCCCCAACACCAGCCCGAGGAAACCTGCTCCCCTCCTCCTGACCCGCACTTCTCCACGGGTCTTGGTCCGGCCAGAGAAAGATCCTTGACTGAACACCCACAGTTTACACCCGAGGGGCGGCCGCTCCCGAGAGGGAGCCTGGTCAACCTACCACAGGGCCTCTAAGCGTCTGGGACCCGGCGAGACGCGGCGGCTCGGTTTCCCTGGTAACCCTGCCGCTCGCTGCGTCGCGCTTCCGGAGACTGCGGGCGGCGCGCTCCAATGACGTCACAGAGAGACTTTTCAGCCGGTGACAGAGTCGGGCTGGACTTGTGGAAACCGGGGGCGCCATGGGGGCCACTGGAGATGCTGAGCAGCCGCGGGGACCCGGCGGGGCAGAGCGGGGCGGACCCGAGCTGGGAGACGCGGGCGCAGCGGGGCAGCTGGTTCTCACGGTGAGGGCGTCCCCGGGGAAGCCGCGGCCAGGCCTGGGCTTGGGCCCGACAGGGCCTCGGGCTCCCGGGACCCTGGCCCGTGGGCGAGAGAAGGAAGCGGCTGGTGCTGCCGAGGGGTTGTGGTTGTCGAAGTCCGACGACCCGGCTTCATATTCTGGTGCCGCCCCCCCAGCTAGGTGACGTAGGCCGGCCCTGCCAAGCCCCTGAGCGCCAGTTTTCTCTTCTCGAAAATGGAGATGATTAGGCCCTGCCTCGTAAAGTTGTTGTGGGAAAGGATATAAATGCGGGTAAAGCGCCCAGCGCATCATCTGGCACCGAGTAGCCCCTCGGTGGACACTGATTCCTTTCCTCCGCCCGTTCCTGAAAAAGTGGGGTTGGGATTTGGGGGCAGGAAGCTTTATCTCGGTTCCTCTTCTCTGGTAGGACCTTCCAACCACTGCCCTCCCCCCTACCCCAAGCGGGGAGAGACGGTGAAAGCACCTGAGAAGCAGGGATGTCTAGGTATAACTTAATACCCACCCTCCACCTCCACCCCAGCGTCACGGACCTCGGTGACATCTGCTCCCTTGGTCTCCACAGAACCCTTGGAACATAATGATAAAGCACCGGCAGGTACAGCGGAGGGGCCGCCGCTCACAGATGACAACAAGGTAAGGCTGGTCTTGGGTGGGACTTCCTCTCCCAGGCACTGGCTTGGGAGGCAGCTTTTGGGTCCCCACTGCACAGAGCTGAGAAAGAGATCATCGACCAATAGAAAGAGGAGATTCAGATTCTGTAACTCTGTGTGACCTTGAGCAAGTCATTTCCCTTCTGAACTCAAAAGAGGGGGCATGTTGATTCAACAGTGCCCAAGGTCCCTAACATTCACAGGCTCTGCGTTTGAAGGCTCCAAAGAGGCAGGATAGCATGGAAGTTAAAAAAATGTGGGGCTAATAGTATCCATCTCAGGGAAGGGAGAGAGCACAAGATGGGTCTTTGGGATGCTGGTTATATATGTTTCTTGACCTGAGTAGCGATTAAAAGGATGTTCACTAAAACTGTTTGTTAAAGTGTATAGACTTTTTCTGTGTTAAGTATTATACCTCTATAACACTTTAAAAATAATGCCATTCCATAGAGTTATGAGTATGAAATAAAGTCCTGCATCTATGTGGTTTGCAGAGCACCTGGGCACGTGGCTCGTTTTCTGTAAAAGCCATATGTTATTGTCATTAAAGGGTCCTATCTCAATAATTGGCTGGGCAGAGTAGGAAAGGATATGTTTGGGACATGCCTCCTGACTGTGTCTCCTTCCTGAATGCAGTTTCACAGATCCTGCCATCTCCATGGATCTCCTCCGAGCTGTCCTGCAGCCTAGCATCAATGAGGAGATCCAGACTGTCTTCAACAAGTACATGAAGGTGAGAAGGACACAAAGATAAAAAATTAACAGGAATAAAGCTCATGGGCAGTCCTTGCCTGCATCACAGTCTCTCTTTCTAGTACACACAGATAATCAAAAGTTTTCCAATTCTGAACCCCCAAAGAATGTTTTTCCTCTTTGGGGGTAATTTGAATTCCTCTTCTTGTTACCAAACCAAACTCGGGTCTTACTGCTTGCCCACGTGCAGTGAAACCAATCTACTGTCCCTGGGTTGTGGTGAAGGAAAGTACAGCATTTATTGCAGGGCACCAAGCAAGGAGTCCAGGACAGCTAGTGCTCAAAATACCCAAAGTCCCCGATGGGTTTCAGCAAAGCTTTTTTTTTTTTTCTTTTGCGGTATGCGGGCCTCTCACCGCCGTGGCCTCTCCCGTTGCAGAGCACAGGCTCGGGACGCGCAGGCTCAGCGGCCATGGCTCATGGGCCCAGCCGCTCCGCGGCATGCGGGATCCTCCCGGACCGGGGCACGAACCCGTGTCCCCTGCATCGGCAGGCAGACTCTCAACCACTGCGCCACCAGAGATGCCCCCTCAGCAAAGCATTTTTAAAGGCAGAATGAGGGAGGGGCATCCCAGGGTCTGTGATCAGCTCGTGCACAATTCTCTGATTGGTTGATGGTGAGGTAACGGTGGTGTCACAGGGGTTAACATTATTAATCCTTAGGCTCTGGGGGCTATGTGCTCATATTCATCAGGTAGTTCATTTCTTCCCTTTGGTGGTGGATTTAGCATCTATAAGACAATTCAGGAAATGTGCATCAGATACTGTTATCTAGGTACTTGAGGGAGGAGCTAAAGCAGAGGATATGAGGGAGGGGTCTGCCCCCGGGAAGGCCCCATAGGGTCCTGCTCCCTTACATTTGGCCAAGCTGTTGTGAGGATGAAGTGACTTAAGTGTAATATGCTTAGCACTGTGCTTGGAATGCAGGTGTTTTTATTACTTGTTTAATAATATCATCATTATTACTATTTAAAATTCTTTTCAAGATCTATTAATAAACTTATGCATGGCTGTACCTGGATGTCCCATGGATACTTCAATCCCAGCATATTCAGGACTGAACTCTTTTTTTTTTTTTTTTTTGCGGTACGCGGGCCTCTCACTGTTGTGGCCTCTCCCATTGCGGAGCACAGGCTCCGGACTCGCAGGCTCAGCGGCCATGGCTCACGGGCCCAGCCGCTCCGCGGCATGTGGGATCCTCCCAGACCGGGGCACGAACCCGTGTCCCCTGCATTGGCAGGCGGACTCTCAACCACTGCACCACCAGGGAAGCCCAGGACTGAACTCTTGTTTTTCTTCCTAAACCTTCTCCTCTTGTGTTTATTCATTCATTCAAAAAGTATTTACTGAGCACCTACCATAATGCAAGCACTATGCTAGGCACTTAGGGATGTAGCAGTGAATAAAATGGACAGTGTCCTTACCCTCTTTAAATAAATGTGTACTTTGTCAGGGAATGCCAGAGAGAACAGGAAGAGAGTGACCGATAGGGAACAGGGATGCTATTTCATAGCTTGTGGCTAGGAAAGCCCTCTGATAAGAGGACATTTGAGCAGAGACCCAAATAAAGTGAGGAAAGAACAAGTCGTGCAAATACCTGGAGGGAAAGCAACCCAGGCAGAGGGAACAAGGGCAAAGGACCTGAGGCAGAAGCATGCTTGGCACATTCAAAGCAACAGAGTGGCTGGAGCCAGCAGAGCCGGAAGGAGAGGAGAAGGAGAGGTGACCAGACAGGTAACAGACTCAGCTCAGGCAGAACTTTAAAGCTGTGGTGAGGACTGTGAATGAAATTTATTGCTTGCCACATCAGGAAATAAAGGATGTTGCAGCCATCAAGCCATCACATTACAGCCACCCTGATGTCGAGCCATGAGGGAACTCAGGATAGAAACAGGATGCCCGCCATCTAGCGGTCAACTGCTGCAGCCACCCCTGACCGTGCACCTTGAGGAGACTCAGGATGAGAAAGCACAGGATCCTGGTCCCAGATAGCTGAGGTGCATATTAAAGGAATAATTTCATTGAGCCCGGACTCTTGCATCTTCCCGTGCATAGGAAAGTGCTAAATTCCTTAATTTGAGATGTCTGGTTTTCTTTATTGAAGAGTAATCTTTTGATGTTCCGACTCCGTGGTCTTTGTTGCGAAAACTCCTATATATCCTGGCTCCCCCCACTTGCCTCTTTGAAGTAGTCCCTCAGAGCTGTCTGAGATGCTGTGTCCCAGGCTTAAGTCCTCAGTTTTGTCCACTGAATAAAATATAACTCTCAACTTATCAGGTTGTGCATTTTCTTTCCAGTCGACAGGACTTTGGGTTTTATTGCAAGTAAAATAGAGGCTTTTGGAGAGTTTTGAGCGGAGTTCATGATCTGAACACTTTTAAAAAGTCTCTCTGACAGTTGTAAAGAGAATAGACTTCAGGAGGACCAGTTAGGAGGCTTGAGATGATAGTGGCTTGGGTGTTAGCAGTAAAGGTGTTGGGAAAGAATCAGATTCCGTATGTGTTTTCAAGGTAGCAACAGGATTTGCTAATGATTCAGATGTGCCGGGTAAAAGAAAAAGA